CATAGCTGACGGCATCATCCATCAGCATATCATTCCCATCACCCATCACATCGCCTCCATCCTCCATTTCGTCGTCCTCGTCATATCCATCTTCATACTCGAGTTCATCATCGTCATACGGTACTTCGTCTGGCTCCAGCGACGCATCATAATCAGTTAAAGTTCGTGCGCCGTCCAGCTGCAGCGGTCCCCACTCATCATCGTCAGGCACATCACCCGCAAGATCTCCATTAGCATAAGTTGGCGGCGGAGTAGCCCCAGGATCAAACGCGTGCGAATGCAAAGCCTGAGTCTGATCTTGCTCTAGATCATCACCAAATGCCGGTGCCGCGTTATCGTAAAGCGGAAGTTCGGGTTCGCCGTTGAGACCAAGATTCTGTGGGAAGGGATCTCGATCATATTCTTCCAAGGCCTCGAGAGTTTCCGAAAAGCCGTCGAGCGAGTCATTATCGTTGCCTTCGTCGTCCGAGTCTGCGCTCACGCTGTTCGTCCATCCATCGTGGCTGGGTGTGCCATTTGCCTCCGCCGAGGCCTCACCTTCGGCACGTTCATCCTCCAGTAAATCCATGGTTGAGCTGGTGTATCCGAGTGCATCTACTCATGAATGCGGTGGGCAATCAATTTAAGTTGTAGAGAAGAACATTCATTTATAACTGGAAGTGAGGTGGATCTTTTGTCGAGTCATGCGCGCTAGCAAAATTCTATTTCTACTTTGGGAATGACTGAGAATGCCAAGACAGTGTTGACGGCAGCGCTCCTTTCGACGTCTCCAAAAATGCAGAAGGCGGAACGGTAAGGACTCTGGATCATGGCCATACGCTTTGGTCAGATAGTGGGAGGCAGTGTAGTACAAATGTTGATCATCGCTGGTCGATACTTGGCTTTGTCTGTCTGGAACTATACATCGAAGTATCTGCTACCTCAAAAGATGATCGTAGTTGTACATCCACAATCAACCCATCACCACACCTCCATGATCTGCGCCATAACACCTACGCTAATAAGTAACATACACTCTCCATCAAATGCCATCCATAATACACCTTGCCGCATAAAGCAATGCCAGCCCACATCACCCATCCTACGCCTTCCCCTCAACCTCACAAACCACCCCCCAAACCATCGCCACGAGCTCATCAGCCACAGTCTCCTAATACTGCATCCCGCCCGCACTCCCATAATCCCCTTGCCCAGGATTATCATCCAAACTCCTATACGCACCTCTCCCTCCCCTCCCACCACCTCCACCACCACCTCTACCGCGCTCATTGCCCCTATTACCGCGGAAACCACGTCCTGAACCTGCTCCGCCTCTACCGCGCTCATTACCCCGATTGCCGCGGAAACCACCTCCGCCACCGCCGCCGTTAGCTTTATTACCAGCCCAACTACTACCCTGCGGATGAGCCTGCTGATGACTCCTCTGCTGCGCCTTAGGCCTGTTAGACCCAAGCGGCGGGAAATCCTCATCCCTCAACCTCTTCCGCCCTTCCGCCTGCTGCTGAGGCTGAACAGGCATTGCATCCTCAACCTCAATCCTCAACAACACCTTCTCGCCCACCACACTCTCGAACTCCAATTGATCCTGCGGCGCAACGTTAGTCCAATGATGGATCCGATTAACCTCGACAGGTTTGGCATCTTTGCGAGTAGCGAGCACGACACACGGAGTGCTGTTCTCTGTGTAGACTCGCTCTCTAGCGTCGCAGGGTTGGACGCGGGCAGCCCAGACTCGGTTTTGGTGGGCTCCAATCCCTGTAACGCGCCATCGGACTTTGTGGCCTACGCCGCCCACTTTGTCTAGTACAGATCGCGGAGCAGGGCGAGGCGTGATGAGGATGTTGTTGGCCAGAAACCGGACCTCGTGCTCGGGCACGACTGAGGGCAGTTTGACAAGAGATTTCAAGCGGTCTATATCGGTTGGTGCGAGCAAGTAGCCGGTGAAGAAGACATCGCGCTTGATAGCGTAGGGTTTTGTCCTCGGCGGTGCGGTGCCAGCGAGGATGGCGGCGTTGTTGGCATTGATCATTGATTGGATTTGGGCGATCTCTGTTACAGGGTCGAGGTAAAGGTCGGCTTCGGTTACTTGTATGACTTCTGCTGTTATTGGTCGACGGATAGCAGTGGATGTTAGACTGCGGTTCAAGTCGGCGAAGAAGTCGCGGAAGGACTTGGTGTGTTTGGGTCTGTCTTCGTACATGCGGAGTTCAGTCGCGGAGTGGTAGGTCATGACTATGTCCCGCAGCAAGGACTGTTTATAGCCGAGCGTACTTGCGAAGAGCTCGCCCGTAGGGCTTACAGCCGGTTTGAGGCAGACCATGTCAAAGTCCAGGCCTTTGGCGGCTGCCATGCGGTTGATCAGATCCGCGAACCCGGCTTCCGCACGACCGGTGAGTAATATGGTGAGAGCGTCTTCTTCAGACATTGACAAGCGGACCAAGTCCACAATCTTCTCGTTCCAGCAGCCTTCCCATGCTCGCGCCTCTTCCACTTCGAGTCCTTGGCCTGTTGAAGCTAGGATTTGCGGGTTGTGCCACCAGCCGCCGCCGTGCAGGAAGTCTTGGGCTTGCAGGTGGCCGCAGGTTTGGGTTGACCAGACTTGGCGGTTGGGCAGGGGCGAGGAGAAGAGGGTGTTGTCGAAGTCGTAGATGTGGATCGATTTGATGTGGTTGACGGGTGGAAGCTGCTTGTCGCCGCAGCTCCAGCGTCGGAGCGCGGTGATGGTGTGGACGGGCCCACTCATGTTGCGATTCGAGATACGATGTCAGCGAGTGTGGTGGGTGTACATTGAGCTGTGTCAGAGGAAAGAAAGAAAGAACAGTCGAGGTCGCGAATGCTGCGGGCTGTTAAGCTTTAATGCACTGTAGATCTCCCGCCGCGCCTCTAGCGTACCGAGATTGTGGGATCAACATGCGGTCATGGATTTGGCTTCGGCTTCGTCCCGTCTCGATGGAGCATTGCAGTTGCAGTTCTGCTCAGTTCTGTTATATGAGATGTCGACCAAAATGCTCGCGCGCACCATCCACCGTGCTCTCCCACGCTGTACCCGCTCAGCCTCCTCCCGCGCCGACTTCCTGGCCCACCGCTCAGCACCATCGCGAGTAGCATCTGCATCCTACCAAGCTCGTGCCCAGCGGAAACAGCAGCAGTTCCTACGCTCTTTGCTAGCCATCGCCATCGCCGGCGGCACCGCAACAGTTACACAATACTACATCACCCAAAGCAGCCATGCCGAAGCACCGCCCGACGATGAACAGCAGCTCGTATTCGAGCGAGCAAAGAAGAAGGCCGGTCTCAGTGTCGAAGAGAACAGAGACATGATCTCTTCACAGCACCATCAGGTTAAGCGGAGTTGGGAGAGTCCGGGCGTGTATGCTTGGGGTAGTAATACAGGTCGAGTGGTGGCGCCGGACAGTAAGGATAATTTGGTCAAGACGCCGCGACGGATCAAATTCTTTGATGGCATGCTACTACGGGATATCAAGCTTGATCGGGATTTCGGGGCTGCCATTGATGAGAAAGGCAATTTGTTACAGTGGGGAAATGGGTATGCGCCGGATGTCACAGCACCAGTAACGACGTTGAAGGGTAAGGATTTGGTTGGGTTGGCGACGAGTAGAGATCGGATACTAGCTTTGTCAAAGAGCGGCAAGGTGTTCAGTCTGCCTGTGTCCGCGGAAGACCAAGCATCCGGCACCAAACCATCAGAGGCCTCGTGGGTGCCGTTCTGGAGCACGACCAGCCCAGTCTCCTACCGTACACTCTCACCAAAAGACCTCCCATCTTCAGAAAAGATCTCCACCATCGCCGGCGGGCTGGACCACGCACTACTACTCACCTCCAAAGGCCGCCTCTTCTCTACGGCCTCCTCATCAGAATCCTTTCCATCACGAGGTCAATTAGGAGTTCCAGGCCTCACATTCGCCACCCGCCCAGAAGGACCTTACGATGCACCCCACGAAGTCACCACTCTCAAAGGCTTCGAATTGAGCAGAATAGCCTGCGGAGACTATCACTCCCTAGCCCTCGACACTTCCGGCCGAGTCTTCAGCTGGGGTGACAATTCTTGCGGCCAACTAGGCTTTGACTACAACGCCGAAACCAGCATCGTAGACGCTCCATCACTCATCCCGACTCAGAAACTCTACTCTGGCTCTTCACAGGTCCCCATCGTCACTCGAATAGCAGCCGGAGGCTACAACTCCTACATCACCGTCGACGCCAAACAAGTTGCAGTGCAAATGGGACGTCTCTCCCTGGCCGACCAAGCCAAAGCCAACGCCACCGTCGGCAAAATAACCTCAGACACCTACGCTTTCGGCTCCGGGATCTACGGCAACTTGGCGAACGGACGATGGACGCACGTCCAGTCCTCTCCCGTCAAAATCCCTTCACTAAGTGGAATATATGAGTACGACGAGAAAACCAACACTACAGTCCCTATCCGTCTCTCTCACTTATCGGTGGGCGCCACGCACGCCGCGGCCGTGATGGCGAATATCACCAACGTCTCTGCATCCTCTACTCCCACGTCTACGGACGACGACACGAATTGGGGCGCCGATATCGTGTTCTGGGGCGGGAACGAGCATTACCAACTTGGTACTGGACGGAGGAATAATTCGAGTACGCCTGTTTATCTTCAGCCGCTGGATCTAGAGGCGGAGGTTAAGAGGGCGAAGAAGTCCTCGGGCAAGGCTGCGGCGAGAGAGGAGCAGCATAGATTTCATATCACGCCGCGCGCGGAAGTGCGGTTGGGGGATGGACGGTGGAGGAGTGTGGAGCAGAGGGTTGAGTGTGGGAGGGGCGTTACTTGTGTGTACTCGGGGACGTGATGGGCTGTGTTGATATTGATGGATATTGATGTGATTGCGTTTTTAGCGACTTTGAGATGGTACAAACGCTCTTCACTTTCACTATTCAGACTTCAAGCTTCGCGATGGGACGTCTTTCGCGTGATCTCGGGAGGTGCTTATGGATGTTATTTCGCCCAAAATGACTGGACGCAGTCGGACTCGAACCGACATCACTCGTGGTAGCTCATCCTGGACATCCACAACTGGATGCACACGACCTACGAGGAGGTACGCCTCAGAAGATCACACCACAAGTATCTTACCATTGAGACCATACGCCCGATGTCTACCTCTGGTCCATCCTTGCTGCTTTCATGTACACTCCCATATCCGTGCCGCAGTCATGCCGATGCACAATGAGAAACTTACAAGATAGGTAGGTACGCTCGTTAAGCTTTCTACAAAGAGCAGTACAACAATCGTCTATCCTGATCAGGAACACAATCTTGTTATTGCTGAAGCCCTGGAAGAGATCTCTTAGACCTGCAAACTCTCGTGACCTGTAAGGTACCCAAGCCCATGGCTTATGAGAGAACATGGCTGATCACTCAGCTTGGAGAAATTCTGTTGACTTGCGGAGACCTGTAGCATGGTTGTGCTATCGTCAAGGAAGTGCTGCGGGAACTCAATTCAGCATTGTCGGTCTTCATAAGGTGTTCGAAGCTGAAGTAGCTCGTCGACTTGGCCCGAACGATGAGGTTTACAGCCTTTACCACAACGACAGCCATTGCTAGTATAAGTTAGGCCACCATAGCTGCTGCAACGTTATTAACGCCACGGAGAGGCCGAAAGTCCACATCGGCATCAATCCATTTCTTTGACCCTTGCAGCACAACTTTCAAGTGAACGCGATAGCACGCATGACCCTAGCTGTGTAGAGTTCTGAAATTTGCGAACTGCTGTAGAATGGTCGTTCTATCGGCAAAAAATGGCCTTGCCTGACCTCCAGGGCAACCTGCGAAGCGCTCAATATCTACACCATTCGCTCCAACCAACGCCCAGCGTCATGAAGGAGAAGACGCAACTTTTGCCAAGTCGGCCCGTCAACCCAAGACAAGAATGAACGTATCAAAATTCCTCCAGCGCCTTGCGATGTCAACAACAGAGTGGCCGTTTCGTCGTGGGAATGAAGTTCAGGGGTCTCCTCGCTTGTCCGCCCTACCGCAAGTCGAGTTGAAAAGGCTTGAAGCTGCTATCCATGCCATTGCACCGCGGGCACATGCTCATCCGTCCTCGGCTCTGGCCACTTATGATTGCTTCGACGCAGTTCCCGCAGAGTCCGCATATGCAGTTCGTGCACGCGTAGCTCTCCTTGAGTATGCAGAGCCGTCGGCAGCCGGCACAATATATTTGCACTGCTTGCTGCTGTGCAAACAAGGTGTTGTTGGGCGACGACGTCGAGTCCATGGATGCCGGGTGCATGATGTGGAACTGCGAGCCAGTCGAGTCGGCACTTGATTGGTGGTGGTGGTGCGATACGGATGACAGGGACGAGTCGACTGAGGCAAAGGGTTGAAGGTCAGCGAGACCCGGATCTGGTGCTGGTGGTGTGAGCGCGCGGTTGAGTGGTGATGCCTGGAAAGACTGGAATTGCGAACCCATTGCGAACGGCGGCATCGATGTCCTGGATGCGCCTTGTGGTGACTGGTAAGGTGAAGCCGGTATCTGTGATTTGTGTCAGCCTTGCCAGGTACATCCATACAACCTCCTACACACCGGCGTGAGGTCTCTTGATCCCTCTTCTTCGGTAGCGCTGGTAGCGGCGTCGATGAGATCCTCCCACCTCTTTCCATACAGCGCAGCAGCACTAGGCTCGGCAGAGAAAGCTTTTCTATCACCACTACTCCTCTTCGCCAGGTCTTTCGACTTGCGGCGCTCATGTTTGCCCAAGCGGGCTTGTTGGCCAAGTAAACTGCTCTTCCGAGGTCTACCACTAGTACCATACTGCCTCGACCCACTTCTCTGCAGAGGCGGCAACGTGGTGCGATCGGTGGGAGAATGTGCTAGACTACTCTGCAGCAAACCACTCTGATCATGACTGGACGACACGGGAAAGGAGTTATGGTCAGCCATTGTGACACCCGAGTCAGGCATGAACGATGCGTCCTCGAGTGCAGGATCGACGTGGAAGTGGTTCTTCATATCGTTGTTGTTCTGGTCGGCGTAGAAGTTCTGAAGAAAATCCGCTTCAGTGATTGTTGGTGAAATCTGCATGGAAGGGAACGTAATCACCTGGCCCATGTTGTGGTTATCGCCTCCCCAGTCCGCCGAGTCGGGTCTGTGGTAGTGCAGCTGCGCCAACGCCGCCGCCGCTGAGGCAGCCGGTATCAGCGAGCCTCGCCGGTACTCGTCCGAAGAGCGCTGCTGGGCTTGCATACTATTGTAGATAGCGGCCGCTTCGGCATCGCCGGCGGTATAATACCCGCCGTCGTGTGAGCCGAGGGCATGGTAGCCTTCGAAGGAGCTCAGCCCTATACCTGGGTCAAGGTTGAAGTTGGGTGACAGACCTGACGGATCAGACAGAGAGTGCTGGTGTTGGTGTTGCGGTTGCTGCGGCGGCAGCTGGACTGCATTGCCGTGTGTGTCTTGTGGTGGGCGCTCGTGCGGAGGAGATGTTATCATAAGCTCAAAGCTCTCTTTCGTCGCCGGCAGCTTGGGGATGTAGTACTCGGGGTGGGCGCGGCGGATGTGCTCTTGCATCGAGCGGAAGCGCTTCTCCCCAAGACATCTCTTTCGGCACGAGCTGTTCGGAGCGCATCGTGTCAGCGGCGTGTGTCGTGTGTATGGGTGGGTGGGAGTCAGCCTCACCTCTGATCAGCATTGCGCAACGGGCAGACCACTTCATTGTTTATGTCCGTGACCGAGAAGGAGTTGAGACCTGGAGCTCTATTACCAGGAGGCATGGCTGCAGCATAAGCAGAAAAGAGGTCCACCACCCCAGCAAACGAGCCAGCCGGTAACTGAGCTCCAGGCGGTGAATCTTGCGATGTGCGAGCTTGACAGCTTGCTGGGAGTATCGTCCAGGACCTCCAGTGAAGCAAGCACCCTGCGTCGGAAAGAGCTGATTTGGTGTGATGAGCGTGGGTCGTCGGAGGGCCACAGCAACCTTGGAAGCTGGAGCTGGAGCTGCTAGCTTTCCGGGACCTCAACTGGACGTGTTGATACGTCTATCTGGTAATATGGCGAAGCTGTCAGTGCACGATGCCGGGCGTCGCTGTCTCGTGGCACGCTGTGGGAGAGGATGATGAGGGAATGTCAGTAGTAGTGAGGCGGGGTCCGTGGGACAATTCCCTCCCCTCCATGATAAAGGCCCAAGCGAGGCAAGCGCGCCCCAGTCTTCTCCACGAATCACAGATCGATATGAGCCAAGGGCTATGTGGCTGGTCTGGAATCCACGGCAGACGGCAATGCGACCTGCGCTCGCTGTTTGTGGTGTGATATGAGTTGCAACGAATTCTGGTCAGTAGTGTTGCGGTCGATTTGTTTGCTGATCGTCGTTGCCGTTCGACCGGATCGAGGATCACCTCAGTCGTACCGCATAATTGCGTGAAATAATAGAGATGAGGCTCTGTAAAACTTAACACGCACCGGACGCCTCTCCATCTCTGGCTGACCTACGGAGTATGTCGCCGCCTCTCGTGGGAGCAAACATATGATAAGGGCTGCACATACCAGCTTGACAGAGTCGGAAGGATGTGAAGAGTCGACCTGTCGCAAAAGACTTCAGGCCGAACAACCTAGGGAGTCGTGCAACGTTTGAGTAAATGTAAGGTAAGAGATCCCTAGATCCCTGGTAGTTATTGTGCTGATTAGAGGGCGTAGCAGTCGGATTAGAGTTTCACGCTAGATGTACACGTGACCAGAAGCTAGACCCGATGGGGAAGAATCGCTGTCCTTGGCGATCCTTGGCGCCCAGAACTGACGCCTTAGGCTCTAGAAGAGATAGAGCATCTAGAGAGAAAAACACCACGTTTACGACAACTGCCTACACAAGCACGGCGTCCTTTTCGTCATCATGTAGTCGCACAACATCGAACAGTCCAACAACGGCTGCAGGTTCGCGGTTTTGTACTCTGTACCACAGCCGCCTGCACGCTATCAAAATGCTCTGTGGAAGTCCACCTCTCCTTCTTGTCCTTCCCTCTCTCCTGTTGCAACCACGATGTCGCTCACGGTAGAGAAGCTAAACGAAGACACGACGTTCCTGTTCGCGCTCGCGCCATCTTTCGCGCCCAAAAGCACGAAGCGCAAAGTCCCAGGCGCATTCACGATCCTGCTAGACCCATGGCTCGAAGGAGCCTCGTCGATACTGCATCCCATCTTCCAGCTCGCCAGCCATACGCATAAATCCGCGATCAAGTCTTTGGCCGACCTGAAAGAGCAGCCGGACTTAATCATCATCAGCCAGGACAAGCCAGACCACTGCCATCGCGAATCACTATGTTCGCTACCGAAGAGCACGAGAACGAGGATACTGGCTACACCTGCTGCGGCCAGAACGATTCGAAGCTGGAAGCACTTCCACCCGGACACTCTGCACGTCATGCCGCCGTACTATCCTGAGAGAGCTGGCGTGGTTACTCGCATTCGTCTGGAGCCGTACACGTCCAGCAGCTCAGCTGGCGAGATCACGATAGCTAACATAGTCACCAAGTACGATATCACGGGTTTGCATAACGCGATTGGCATCACGTACCGTCCGCCTGGCTCTCTTCTGAGCGCGGTCGGTGGTGAGACGATCAATCTGGCAGAGTTGAATCGACCAGCAACCTCACCCGGCGCACTACGCAAATCGCGTTCAGATGTCAGGCTTACGAGCACGAAGTCAAATCCGACGACCAGAGGACGCTCAGGCAGTGCGCCACGACCAAACTTCCTTGATCCACTTGGCCACTCGCAAAGCATGCCAGAAGAACCAGTTCTGGGCCCTCTCGAACTCCGCCGTGTGGACTCGAAAGCAGAAATCATTGCGCGCCGACATAAGGAAAAGCCTCTCAGCATTCTCTACACTCCTCACGGCCTCTCGCTCGCCGCTCTCGAGCCCTACCTCTCGCACCACCTTGAGCGCATTGGCGCTTTGCCGCTCACAGCGCTCTTCCACTGCATGAACAGCGAGCAAAATCCGCTATTCCTCGGCGGGCTGGTTGCAAGAGGCGCGCCAGGCGGTGTGGACATTGCAGCTGGTCTGGAGGCGCGATACTGGATCAGCGCGCACGATGAGGTGAAGGAGCTGCGTGGGGTGTCGACGATGTGGATTAAGAGTAAGCGCTACAGCAGAGAA